TCTGACTTCTGGCGGAAACTCGCCAGGGTCTTGTTGTCCACTGCGGCCGGAATGCTTCCCCTTTGTATGATAAACATTGCCTAAATTATAGAGTGCCCGTGCCTTGCCGACCTGCAAACAAAAGAAAAAGAGTATTAACAATGCTTGAAAGAACAGAATCAATTGATATCTTCCTGGAGTCACTTTAAACTGACATCATTCTCCTTTTTTTTTTTTTTTTTTATAAAAATAAACAGACGTAAAACTACAAGAAAATTATATATGCTCAACATAAGTTAACAGAAGAAAATAGAGAAGGCAAAGGTTATAATCTACAGTAGAGATTAATCTGGATTAATGTATTTCAACAGATATTTATTTTTATGCCCACATGTGAGCATCGGCTCATTTCTCTTGTTTAATAAGTTAAGGTTATTTAAGTGTTTTAAGCTATGCAAGGTAGTAAATCCACTAAAACACAAGGGGTTACAGGGTGTGGAAGAATTAGGAATAGATACATTAAAAATGAGCGGAAAGAGAAAAGAGTAATCAGGAGAACAGTAGATAGTGATTGACATTGCATTTAAATTTTTGCAGATTAAAGTTGGCTAGGAAGCAGGGGATCAAAAAGGAGTTTCACAAACTAGAATTGTGAGAAACTGTTAGCATAGAACTTACAGTTCTAGCTAGCTCAAATGTAAATTGATGAAATCTCGACACCAGTTTAGTACTGCACTTAAATTCATAAAGTCTAGGTACCATAGTGAAGAGCAGTATTATGTAAAAATACAAAATGTGGGGAAAAAAAAAAAAAAAAAAGGTTGGTCTTCTGTCTTAGAATTAAACTCAACTAGCCACAATCACTGACCCAAACATACTACAATATTCCTTATATCAAAACAATGAATTCTTACTTATCATTCTTACAACCTCCACCATAATACTGCAATGTCTCTACAAAGTCCTAACTCGTCCCCATATGTACATTTCTTGTCTGTTGGATGGGGAGGGGAATATAACAACAAATTACCATAGCAAAGAGCTCATCTGAACAATTACCATGTAAGTATTTATAGAAGAGGCACAGAGAGGCAACTTTATGGCGGTGGGTTAGTGACTGAAGCCAAGCTGCCAGATCAGGACCGATAATATTGATGATTCTTTATTGGATCTTATCAAGAAGCTTTAGGTAAATAGCAGAAGCAATATTCTAAGCATGGATGAATGGTAGATTTATAGATTTGTAAGATTCTGGAGAGAAAAATTGTCTTGCACAATATAGTGATGACCATTTTGTTTAAAGTTCATATTTTCTTGATTTCAGATGAAAACTTGGAAATTTTTCATTTTTGTTCTGTAAAATTATAGTTTAGAATTATGGAAAAAGAAAATGTCTGGAGGATATCAGTTAATAAGGAATTTTAGTCTTTCCCATCAACAGAAGAATGAAAATTCAGCTCTATCGATATTTCTGAAATGAGGTATTGTAACTATTTACACTATTTACATTGTTCGGACAGTTGTCCAAATGTTTGTTGCCATATTCACAATGTTTCACCAGTGGTAAGCTTCGGCTTTCTTCAGGATTTGTCTATATTTTAGAGATGAGGTATTGTAACTATTTACATTGTTTGGACTTATCTTCATCTTTACTGTCATATTCATGATATTTCGGTAATTGAACGCTCCAGCCTTCTTCAGGTGATATATGATGGAATTTCGAACTGAACACTTTACTTAGTTCACTGTACACATGGTCCCTGACCACAGCAGAAGTGAATAAAGACTTGGAGAGTTGAGTTACTAAAGGGAAATAACTGAAATTGAGATATCCAGAAAAAGCATAGCACGTGGAACTAGAACAATCTACCCTAGTGGCTGAAATAAAGGGTTTGGTTTGAAATTCCAACGTATATCATCTGAAAAAAGGGTCACAATGGCTGAAACCTCACAAATATGACAATAAAGATGAAAACAACAGTTCGAACAATGTAAATAGTGTAGAAAATTACCTTTTTACATTAAAATCAACTATTTGACCTAAACATTGTTCTCTGCCTGGCATGTTTACAATGAATTAACAGTTCTCATTTTAAGCTACCAACCATTTCATCTGTTGGAATCAAGCCAAGCCTCTCGGCTTGACGGTCGAACTTTCTGCCTCCGAGCAGAAAGGAACCCGGACGAGGTTCCGCCGAAGGGCAGAATCTCGTTTGGGGAGAAATGACCAACCCAATCTCATTTATATGGGTTACATGGGCATTTTTTGGCCGAGCCTATGGGCTTGGGAAACCCACGATAAACTCGGCCTTGTGCCACATGCAACCCTCGTGGGGGGGGGGTGGCTAGATACCATTTCATCTGTTGGTAAATCTATAGTCATAATAGTGTCATAATCAGAATATTTAAAATCATTATCCTTCTGATGTTAGTTTAGACTAGTGGTTCCCAAATGGTACAGCACACCTCATAAGTGTGGCAGAAGAGGGTAGCAAGTGAGATGGAATAATTGAAAGACAAAGATTTAGAAACAGTTTCAAAAAATTCATATGCCAAAAATAAATATGATTTCAAAATTTAAAATATTATTATGGATTACTTGTAATTGCATGCATTAGTCCCAGTATAAATAATTATTGGCTGATTTTATGATATTTTGCATTATATCAAGTATTAAGAATATAGTAAGCAAAGTCTGCAAATTGAAGGAGAGAATTATCAATGATAAATGTACGAACTTCAAATCTGTAGTTATCTCCCCTTATCCTTATGTTGTTTTTACTTTTATATGTACTTTTTATCACATAAAATTTGATGACATGTGCGCAAATTTTAATTCCAAAAATGCGGCCCAGAGAAAAATATGTTTGGGGACCACTGGTTTAGAGTGAGAGCTTTTTTTTTTTTTCTATAATCATTTTGATTTAAGTAGGTATTTTCTTGATTTAAGACAAATATTTTTCCAACATATTTTTGTGAAATCTTTCACTTTCCGAAATTACCATTATTATTTAGATATAAGGAGAAAAAGAAAAAAGGAGTGTCATTTTAGACCAACACCAGCAGGATATGGGCTTTAAAAATAGTGAGACAATGTTTTATAGATTATGCAAAAGTTAATAATAAAACACAGAAGAATGTTAACTGTAACATTGTTCTCTGCCTGGCATAGTTACCATGAGTCAACAGTGAATATGTTTAATGTGTATTGTTTTTCAACTGTTCCAAAATATTTAAGCAAAAAATTAAATGCAATATCAGCCACCATCTTCTGTCTTCTTGAATCCCATTCATCTTTTGTCCTTTACTCAATCCTCCCCTTACTCAGTCTTTTCTCTCACTTTCATTCTCTGTAACCCTCTGTGTACTAGTGGCATTCCCACCTTGCTTAGGGTGAAAAAAAAAAAAATTGGATTAAAATAAAAAATTTGGAAGTTTTGCAGCTTATTTCAGTAAAATTTTCACTTCCTAATATCATAGTTTCTAATTTAGATATTTTGAACAAAAGTGGATGTCAGTTTAAAATGATGCCGAGAAAAAGTAGGTTAAGCAATTAAAAAAAAAAAAAAAAAGAAAAGAAAGCACAATGGGAATAAAAGTTTTGGTTGCATTAATAATTCAACTGGGATTTATATAAAAGTGGGAGGAAAAAAGAGGTTCAAAGTATCAAAGTTTAATGAACAAAGCAAATATAATTTGAATATTAAAAACAATCAGTATTTAGGTTACTTGTCATAAAGCAATACTGAATGACGTGTGAAAGATTTAACAAAGAACTTCTATACTGTTATATATATATTATTTACAATCGGACTAACATCCTTATCTTTGTTGTTGTTATCACAATGTTTTGGCTGTTGTGCTCTCCAGCCTTCTTTAGCCTACAAGGAATTTTGAACTTTATTTTATCTACAGGGATAGCTTGTTCTCATTTCACTGTCTATACCTAGGGATATTTTTTTTTATTTGCATTTTCCTTTTTTAACCTACAACCTACCTAATCAATTATACAATCAAGATCATTTGTATACTAATGTTTATTTCGAGATTACATAAGGTCTTGAACATATATACCATCCATAATACGTTTTGTTACTCATCATTTTTGAATCTGAAGCTTTATAAAAATTGAAATAATGTCCTAATTTTTCTGTGGACCATCAAAAATTTTTAATGGACCACCTGTGGTCCAAGAGCCATCAGTTGGCTGCCACTGATTTAACCGATAGCTGGGTTGAGGAGATGGATTCATATGTTTCCCAAGAATATTTGTGTCCCCACTGTTGGGTAATCCTGAAATTAACCCCTAAGATGTTTAAACACCATTTTCAATATGGCCCTTACACTAGCTTTGAACAACAAATAATTTCCTTTTTTAAAATTGCACAAACATGACCAAGTACGGAACATTGTGCTTAACAGAAAGAGAGATGAGGAAAGAGGGCCTGGAGAATTTAACACTTACAGGCAAGAAAAACAGTAATTAAACTCCTTAACAAGTAGCAAAACAATGACAAAGAAGGATAATAAAGGACAAAAAGTTAATTAGAGAAACTAAACAGGAGGTTGTGGAGAACAATGATTGCCCAAGTCCAAAAAAGACAGGTCATATAAAACAATAAAAATAAATTTATATATTCATTGTAGTATCATGTTAGCATTTTGGAAGTTTACAAATGCAAAGCATTTTAGTCTTCTGAGATATTTCTAGTTCTATAAACCAATTCTGATGATTTATAAACCTACAATAAATTTACTGATTGTTTTTTATGGCTTATCAACCATTTGCAGGTTATTTAAAGCCAGAAAATATTTTTAGATTGTAAGAATTTTTGGAGATAATGATTTACTGATACAACTCCTACTAATTAACCCATAGCTTAGGGGAGACATTTTGATTTCAAACTTTTCCCATGGCTATTTGCATGTAAGTGAATATAACTAACTTGTCTGTAATGGGAATTTGTCTCTACGATTTCCAATTCTGAGCTGTTATCTAGTACACCACCTGCAAATCTAAGCTTGTAGCACTTGGTATTCCCAAGTGGTCACCCATCTAGGTACTGACCAGGCTCAAAGTTGCTTAACTTTGTTGATCGTAGAGGAACCAGTGTTTCAGTGTGATATGGCTGTA